TGGGGAGGTAAGGTATCCTCTTTCTGAGCAAGCTACATGATTCTTACGACTTTGACTGTCTTCATGGTAGCTGATAGACATCAGTAGTACTGGTAGCCTTGCGTCAATTTGAGGGAGAAGCAAATTATTGTTTTTTTCAGTACACAAAGGCAAGTTGGATTTAAACAAGGAATGCGACAAACTGGAACGCCTGACTAGTGCAAGCGGACGTTTCCCTTCCTGGTTATCTAAAAATATGTTAGAAAAAAAAGTGAAAAGCTGACATTTTCTCCTACTAAAAAACGCAAAACCCACATGAACGGGTTTCGACATGAAGAATCTGATCAGTAATGTATGGATGAACTTTTACATGCGAAAGGATTGCTGTGGCTCCGATAACTTGGTGCATTGAGGGCTCTGCAATCCATTCTCCAGCTTGTAGCCTGGCTTGTTAAAACAGAAGCATTGGAGGCTTTCGTACTGCCTCCTAGCGTTTCAGCTATGATGCTAGTGTTTGACATTTCTTCTCCCTGTTCCGCGACTACGTCTTGATTGATGCAGAAGTAAGGTCATCGGTCAGTCGGTTATTGGCCGACCACGTGATGATTGAGGTGGCTCTTCTTGTCGGATCATCACTTGACAGGTGCATGCTATATGAGTGCAGCGCGAAACAGTTGCTTAAAAACAAAAAGGTATTTGGAGTAATGCCTGCTATGTGGCCAAATTTCATGCCATTTTTATCCATCCCGGCCACTTGTCCAAGTTTGCACTGTTCTTAAACATTTAAGCGCTTCCAATTCGTAATCTATCCCTGAAATCCCGGTTTCTCCCCATTTGAAAGATTGAGACGGTTTCGTGGATTTGGCGCGGTTTAACCACTCACAGTGTGCATGTCTACCATGAAGCGTTCCAGCATTTCATCCAGCCAGCTAATCGAGACGTTTTATTCTTCCGGGCAGGATTTTTCAAGGTCGTCGGAGGATGTGATGTGGCGCAGTAGTCTAGGGCTAGCTTTAGTCCGGAAGAGCAGACAGGCCAGGTGGCAGGCAACTGCAGGCAATCCATTATCGCCAGCTTGGAGACTTAAGTCGCAGGAGATTGCAAGAGACCGATAAATCTTCCATACATATAATTCTGACGCAATTTTATGGCTAGACTTTTTGGCGGCACTTGTTTGTCTAAGTACACAAATCCGGAGGTGAAATCTGCCGCTGCCCGCTTTGGCTCCCCTAAAAAGGACACTTACCGTTTCTTCAATTGCATCCCGACTTTTGGACCATGTTTAGAGCCCCACTTATATAGTGATTGCTAAAAGGTCTGACAAAAAGCCTCCTTTTGCATCAATTTATTGCCCCTTTGTGGGAAAGAGGGGTCGGAAAGTGGACAAGAGAGAAAGTTTAGCTGTTTCCTCACTTCCAAGTCAGGGATGAGTGCCTCGATGCCTCCTTTAAATAAGTTTAAAGACCGAAATGCGGACAAATTTGTTCATAGTTCTGACTTGGCCGTTTTTACCATTGATGTCCAAAAGACGTCTTTTCCTCTCCACTGACAGTGAGGACCAACTGACAAACTGAAATCGAGGCGGTCGTCGTTATTCCCTACTCCAACACTATCTTGCGTGTTTCATGAGTTTCGAGGCAGGTATGAGGAGCCCGCAAGGGAGCAATTAAGTGCCATTATCCTGGACGGTCATAATTATTCTTGTAAATAAAGGCCTGCGACTCAAACCACCTGGCTTGATAGAAGATAAGGGTGAGGTGAACCACTGAATAAACTTAAATTTCCTAATAGAAAAATGCATATGGGTGGACATCTATGTCTTTCCTTCGTCTACTCGACTTAGACGCAGTCTGATGGGATTGTAGAAAGTGTTGGAAGACTGCTGTCTAGGGTTGTCTAATGTATATCCTTCCTTTGGTTTGCAACCACCAACCTATTGTCAACTCGGTGATAAAGTTTTTAAGGTGGTATTAACTATGCATCAGGTGAGTAGATAAAAGATGGAATGGGTGGAAAAGATAAGCAGACGATGAATCGCAAATTTGAAAGACGCCGAAATTGGTGGGTATATAGAGGAATGGACGAAGGGATTTAAGCTGATGGACGGACAGTTGGACGGCTGAAAGATGGATAAAGGGACAAAAAGTAGGAACTGATGCATGGATGGATT